TGAAGTAAAACTATCATGTTGGACTGTTTAACCACAAGACTATGAGAAAAACACTTTGAAGGACTCCAAGAACTTTCCAATTGCAGGAAAAAGGAAACTTTTACCATGCCAACATCCGTTGAAAAATGTAGATTCACAGAATCTCAGAATTATTAGGGTTGTAAGGGACCTCTGGAGTTCAGCTCATCCAACCCCCTGCCAAGGCAGGGTCACCTAGAGTAGGTTACACAGAAATGCATCCAGGTGGGTTTTGAATGTCTCCTGAAAGGGAGACTCCACAACCTTCACACACTGGCAGTCTATAAAGTTCCTAGAATGTGATAATGGTATTTTTTAATATTTAAATATGTGGAGGCTAGTGCAGGGTATGTTATCTTGGGCTGGTTCTCCATTGCAGGTCCGACTCATCTACAAATCCAATTGCGAAAAGCAATTTGAGTAAAAACCATCACAAAATGAAAGATCAGCATTCTAAAAAAGGAATTATGAAAGAGACTATAAAACACCTCTTTAAGGAAAGATCAGATATATTTCTCCAATAGAGAAAAAACAAAACAGGCTTCAGAAAAGCAAACTTCAGCACCACCAGGGAACCAGAAGTGCCAGGGCAGCCCCCTGAGCGATAACAGAGTGTTGTAGGTGTCCCTTTCCTGTGATAGGGTAATTAAAGGGTAGCCATGCCAAACACTGCTAACTATTGGGGTACCTGCTGCTGTGTTTCAGTACTGGGGCAGCAAACTACCCCAATGCAAATCCAAACTACAAAGCACATTATGAGAACATTATGACTAAACCAGGTGGAAACTACAGCAAAGTTTTTTTAACTGAAAAGCATTCTCAAAATCTGCACCAGTAAGTTAACAATTCTCAATATGTATCTCAATAAATAATTAACAACAATTGGATCTGTGAGAATTATAGTTTATATTAGAAAATTCGATATCCTACTTGTTTCTAGTACAGGAATGAGCCTTCTCTATTTAAGTATTTGCTGCCATCATGTGTACACTTCAGAAACTGCAAACTTACGAACAATGCTCTTTTCTTGAGTCAAAAATCAGCTATGAGTACACATAAGGGCATTACAGGCTTCAGTTAGAAGGTGATGAAGTATCAAGGATCACTAATGTAACTCAACTCAACTCAAAGACCACATGCTTCCACTATGTAATCAAAAGAAGCAAGAAACTGACTATAAGTAAATGGTATTTGGTGGCCCACAAAAAATAAACCAATTGCTCTGGTTCATTCCACGCAGATATCAAAACAATCAAATTCAATACCTTCAGCCATGACATCTCCAAAAAAGCAGCAGTGATGGGGACTTGAATTCAAGCCCTTACACTAGGTTCAGGAAGGAAAAAAAAAAAGAAAAGAAAAAAAGAGAATGTTGCAGTGACCTAATGTTCATTTCCTATAAATTAGGAAATAGAATAGTTCAGCAAGAAGAAAAAAAATACTATGAAATCACATAAAACTAGCTTGTCAATTTTACATCATTCAGTAATTCCCAAAGAGGGAGGGAAGATGCATCTACATTTTAAGAGTCTGTTGTTAGCCAGTCTTGAAATATGGGTGCAAGATCAATTTAGAAGGTATTCTTCCAATGTAGCTAGTTACTGCAGTGAGGAAAAAAATACATCATGCTCTCCTTTACCTCAGACTCTGTCTCTCACTAATATCCCTGAAACAACATAAGCAGCATATTAACAGGACTCAAACTCCCCACATATCAGTAAGGCTAAAATCCTACACTCTTTAACTCTGCTTCTAGTATCATTTCTAGCTTGTTCATTAGAAATACCTCATTACTTAACATTACTTCTGGAATTGACCTTTAATAGCTATAAATTCAAACATTTTAGCAGATGTTATGATTAAATATGTTTTCCAAATTATATCCTTCAAAAATGTAGTTTGGAATTGAGACACAGAAACAAAAAAATATTTCAGCAGAAATTTTCTGCTCGATAGATTGCCAGGAGTGAGCTGCATATACAGTAGGATATCACTTATAAGATCTACGTGGTAAATACAGTCAGCTTCAGCCTTAAAACAGCCAAAGACCTCAGCATTACAAAAGACAGATAAAACAACATGGAGATTGATAAAGATGCTGCTAAATACAAGATTAGGAAGTCAAAATGTGATGCTCAACTTCTTGTAAAAAATGATCTCTGATTAAACAACTGAATACTGAACTGAATAAAAACCCTTTCACCCCTCAGTGTGTACACATCAGTATGTCTTAAGTATAGCTGTATATATACAAATCTGGGGCTTTAAAAATCCTCCAACATGCATAACTCCTACTTGTTCAGGCTCCTCACATTATGCTGAAAGAAGAAAAAAAAAAACAGTTTCCAAACAATTATTCAGATGTGCTCCAGATGCCATTTTAACTTGCAGAAAATATCAATTTTGTGTCTACACAGGACAGGAAGGTACATCTATACAGTGCGTGCAATTACAGCACTCATAATATTATTGCAGTAATTACAAAATGTGGTACTTGACAGCACTTGTAGAAAGTTGGCAGTGTTTAAAGTGTTGATAGTAGAAATGCACTGACAACACAGTAAAACCTACCATGCTTACAAAACACTACATGCTGACAATATTCACACAAGTAGCAAACAAATGCTAGAAGGAAGGTGTCAATAAAATACAAACAAGCAGAAATCCTTATAAATTTGCAATTCCAATTTGTATTCAGTTTGTCTGTTTGACCCACTACATTGTCTTAAAATGTAACATAGTTCAAACCTTGATATTTTCATACGAAAACCTAGCCTGGTAAGGTTCTTTCAATTCTACCATAAAGTACTTTAAACACTAAAAATAGACTGTGCTGTAACACTGTGGGCAAAACAATCAGAATACCCATCTCCTCCTCTTTCTTTTTTTTTTGTTTACATGTAAGAGGAAGCAACAAATCTAACAAGACCCATACTTGCACATACAACTTACAGACAACATTTTAAGACACCCATTTTCTTTCTGTAACCTGTATCAAGTTAAATTTTTTTAAATGGTTGTTAAGCAATACTGAAAAAGAGGAATCATGCTAATTTGCAGTAAATATGATAAACTGTTAAATTCAAAGAGTACTCAGGGATCTGAATGCACAAAATAACAGATTCCTGATCATTGCAGCTCGAACTCAAAAAAATCCAGAGGTCCTGAGAATTATGTGCCATTATGTATATAATTTATACATAATAAAGGCTTTTGATTCCCTACGTTTCAAACACATACACAAGTACAACAGAATGTAACCCAGTGTGGTTATGCACATGATGTCCCTCATGGTTTGGACAGAATTTTATACCACCACTAGATGGAAACCTGAACTATGTTTTAAACTGACAATTCTGTAAATCACAGAATCACAGAATCAGCCAGGTTGGAAAGGATCTCTGAGATCATCAAGTCCAACCCTTGATCCACTACTGCCATGGTTACCATACCATGCTCCATTACTGGCTCTCCTTCTACTGTGTCTGGCTATTTTCTCATTTAAAGATCTAATCCCGCATTGGCTGTCACTAACCTGTACTCATTAGGAAGGTATCCATGGGGCAGACATACACAAAACTTCTACAGTATCTTCAACTCTGAGAGCGTTAACAGAAACATGCCCTGCTCAGTTCCCAGGCCAGTGTACTCAATGTAAGGAATAAACTGTTGCACACATTAGAGATTTACCCCACTCCTACAGCAATTTAAACTTCTCAGTCTGAGTTACAACTAATAAGAATTGCTGCAGTCTGACAAGAAATTTCAGTAGGGATTCAATTAATAACACATTTTAAACATCAAAGGCATATTACCAAACTGAAATTTATAAACCTATTTATAAATCATGTATTTATACAAAGTTTCATCACTTCGATGGAGTTTACTGTGCAATGTACCTGAGGCGACTGGCACATACTGCCTGATGTGACCCCTATGACTCAGATATTATTTCCTGCTGTGTCCAAATAGTTGTAAATAAAGACTTCAACTGGTAGACAAGCACAGTTATTAAGACAGCCATCTGACTAGCTACATGCAATCACAGATATGATAACACAGAGATAATTGGCATAGGAAACATGACAGAAGCACTGAGAGTACTGATGCCACATCTTATAAGATTCTGAATTTGGAAAATACAGTAAAGGTCTAAAACCAGTATGTACACAGGCAAAGAAAAAAACAACCCACCAAGAAATCACTGACCTTAGCAGTAGTTAGATGAAAGAGAATGACAGTTTTCCAGGTGAGAAGTACCAAATGCGCCTTCCCATGACAGGCGTGCACCACGCACAAGCCAGAGGGTATCCATCAGGCTACCCCAAGTCTCTCCACATGAGAAAGCTCCCAGATCACCTGGATTCTCAGTGGAAGAGAAGTGAATACCAGCCCCTGCTTCTAAATCCAAATTTGAAAGAGCACTGAAAGGATGGAAGTGATGCCATGATATGAAAAAGATGTTATTACTGTGAAACTTTGCAATAGGCATCCACGTGGTCAACCTTTGCTTTTATTTCCTTGGTCAAGAGGACAATTGCATATGAACACTGGTTCAGGAAACTCTCCAAATCATGGGTCACCGTGACAAAATTTCATCTTATGCAAAGGCAGACTTCAAACTTTACAGCAAAGCAGGCCACCAGGAATGCTATGTCAGAACAGCAGACTGATTTCCTGTGGCCAGTTCATACCCAAATTCTACATGCTCTTCAATTTATCAGCCACAACTCCATGGCACTAAGAAAAGTGTGAAATTCTTTCCTGCCTTTAGATAAATATCAAAGAAAATAGAGGAAACTGTCTCTAATTTATTTCTTACAAATTAATAACCAGTGAACACCCTAAGTGGGGACTAGATACATAAGGCTCAGTAGGAACTGACTCTTAATAAGAAGGTTTTGATTCAGATAGCCATAAAAAATACTAAAAGCAAATTCTGGTAACCAGGAATGTTAAAATGAAATACTACTACACTTAAATCCCATTTCACAACTTTTATTATAGTCATAAAATGGCAAAAAACTTAAAGACATATTATACTTTTAAAAAAGATGTATTCCTTTGTCAGGTATAGGAAAACATCACATATAATCTACTTCACTGAAGTTAAGAGCATAATAGAGAAAGCCAGCAGTAGTTTTAGACATTTGCAACCTATATTATTTGGCAAAAGCACAAAAAGCAACCCACACATCCCATTCCCATCTCAGTCTGACTCCAGTACTGGCCACAGCTTCCTCTTCCACGCTCTTTGACTATTTGCTCTTCAAACTCTCCTGTCAACATTTTGACATATTTTTCAGTGTCAGAAGCTTAAAAACAAAGGGGAGGAAAGATCATACTAGCCCAAAGAATTGAGAAGCAAAAAGTTCTGTAAGTGTATCCACTCACAAGCAGAAAAAGGTCAGGACACTATGTCCTGAGAAATATCATGACAGCATCCCACAATCATCCCAGCAAACTAAGTACTGCAAGGGATCCAGGTAACTGAAAACAAATTTGATGAAAGACAATTATTTGTATCACACCAAATATTACACTGATTCACAAAAATTAGTCATTCTTGAGAGGCTACGTGACCAGGTTCCCCAGATATAGAGATACTGTTTTATCTTAATTTTACCAATATAATGCCTAGATTTGTTGAGGAATGAAAAGAAATGTCATCTTTCGAGTATACAACAGCAGATGGCAGCTCCCAAATCAGTCTCAGTTCATTTGAAAGCTTATTAAAAGGTTTTTAGAGTCATGAGTGGCCAAAGCATTTCAGAGGCAGTTTATTCAATCTATTAGATGTGAGAAGATGTCACATAACTCTTCTGAATGATTTTGCTCATCTTCAGGTAGTCCAGGCCTTCTCATCTACAGGTCAGATTCTATAAAAAAGCCAAGTATCAGATGGTCATTTTCAAATTTAAAAGAGGAATTAGCTTAAATGTGAAACAAATGGTTATTGAAATTACTTAGCTGAATGTTCTACTTACTGTAACCTGGAATAAACTGATCAATACTATCTTAATATTACCTGTCTTAAGAAAGCATTCTCATCAGCTACCACACGTTTTAGAAGACTGTTCAACTAATTGACTTATCATACCAGTCAACATTAATTCAATAGCGTTCCAAAGTAATAATCACTATCAATCTAATTATATCAGCAGTCTCCTGTGAATGAGTACCAATTATTTTAATTAAAATATTAAATATTTAGAAAATAGATAGGAACATATATTAATAATTTAGATACTTCAATTGAATCTATCTGAACAAGCATAATTCCTGAACAACAAAGCTTATTTTCTTTGTACCCTACTTTAATATTTTCCATAAGGTTTCAAGACGTTGATCTAATACCAATGAAAAAATCCCTATTTATATTGTTCTACTTTTATATAAAAGTGTACATGGACTTGCAGTCCATTATCAGTTGTATTCAGACTTTATTCAGATATCACTTGTATTCAGATATTAAGAACTCCTCCAAGAATATTCAAATGATAGTTTCCCTATTTTGTAAATGCAAACAGGACAGGTTAGGTTTCCTATAAAACTACATTAACCATCTATGTGGTTGAGTTCTAACACTAAAGCCCTCAATTCCCATGTATTCTAAACAAGCAAATCCCTTCTCATCTCCTTTACAAGAAAATTACACAAATCATTCACATACTAAGGCAATATCATTTGGGAGCTTTTTGCTTCTTTCCCCCACCCCCTTTGTTTTTAAAGCTAATCTAGAAATCTCCCTCCAGTTTCTTCACCAAGTTTCACAGGAAATAAAGGAAACTCGTTCAGCTTGTGAGAAACAATCACGAGAATCATTTGAATGGGAAAAGACCTCCAAAATCATCAAATCCAACCTTTGATCAAACAACACCTTGTCAACCAGATCATGGCACTAAGTGCTAGGTCCAGTCATTTCTTGAACACTTCCAGGGACAGTGACTCCACCACCTTCCTGGGAAGTCTGTTCCAGTATTTAACAGCCTTTTTTGTGACAAAATTCTTCCTGATGTGCAATCTGAACATCCCCTGGTACAGCTTGAGGCTACGTTCTCTCGTCCTGTCACTAGCTGCCTGGGAGAAGAGACCAACCCCCACTTTGCTACAAAGTGAAATCAACATGCCCAGTTCCCTTGAATCAGCACGATTTAAATACCAAGGGAGCAAAAAAATCATTTGAGGCAAGCATAATGTGATTACAAGAACAGGCCTGTTTTCTAAACAACTAGCAAATATGAATCAAACTGGAGGAAAGAAAGCACACCACAGACTATGAACTAGTATATTCAAGCACACCCAGAAGGTCTGACTACCCAAAAAAATCCCGAAGGGTTTTAACAATAGCCAAGTAGTTTCATGTTAAAATAAGCCATCCTTGAAAATTGTCATTCAAAAGTATTTGGAATGGCTTACTAAGGTTACATTTGTAAGGGGGGTACTTTTGATTTAGATGATCAGTGGAGCATAGAGGGGTGAGAAAGTGATTATATTAGCACGTGAAACCAGTCAGAGTATTGTACAATGTAACTTTATTGCACAAGTTGACTGTAAGGCCCATTGTGCCTTTAGCAAGTTAACTAGATGTCCCTTATTATCATAGCTGAGTTCCTCCTTGGCTTGGTTACATTCCACAAGATAGATACAAATACCCTTGAAACACAATGGTAGAGGTCGTACATAGGGGTGAGGAAGGTGATGGAGAAAGGAAGATGATGTGGGCAGGGGTCGTTCACCCCTTGCCTTACAGCAGAGTGTGCACAGACTGTTGCCATTACGCAGTGAACAGGCGGTGTTTGGTTGCCACTCAAGCATCACCTTATACTGCGTACTGGCCCCACACAGTGTAACGTAGAGCTGATAAAATGGGGTGTCAGGACTGCGGGGTCAAGCGATACTCATCCCTCCATCGAGACTGTGTTGCTCCACAGGGACGCCCGCTAAGATGGGTGCTGACCAGCCGCTGCAGATCCTGGTGGCCTTGGCCTGCCTGTGCAGGTAAGCACAGTTTATTGACAGGAAGCAACCGAGAAAGCAAACTTTTTATATCCCTTTTTGTATCCTTTTAATTCCCTTTTTTTTTCACTAGCTAATACTGTAATAGAGGCTGTTCGTAGTATTGTATGAACACCAATAGATAAAGTAGGTTTTTTGTATTCTTTTTTAGATTTTGATTCTCTTTGCTAATAGTTTTTTACTCTCACTGCAATAAAATATATTTTGTAGCGTTTGAATGACTGTTGTACTTGTCTTTATTCCAGGCATGTATCCTAACGAACTGCTGCAGCATTTCATATTGAAGTCCTCATTCAAAGTCAGCAAACATCGATGCAATCATCATATCCATAATCTTTATCCTCTGATGAATATACATTCAGATATACAATTTTAATATAAAATTAGGAGTACTAATTTTCTGTAACATGAGACTACTCTGTACCAGATGCCCTGCATGCAATAGAAGACATGAGGAAAGAATATTTCCAGATGCAAGTTGAATACTGACAACACTAAAGTGCATACAGCATGGTATATGCTCAGCCTAATGAACAAGAAAATTAGGAAGTGCTTGACATGCAACATGTCAAAATACTGTTAACAGAGCTGTAACTTTGCTTTGTTTTTTTCTTAAATAAACTTAACAGGAAATTCAAAAAATCATTTTGTATTAATGATGTAGTGATTTGTTTAGGTGGATTTTTTTGTTTGGTTTGGTTTTAGTTTGGTTTAATAAATATAGATAAGGAGGCAAGGAGTACAGTTATGGTTCATGTATGTGAAGAAGTAGCATATCACTGATTCATTCACTGCTAACTGCAACTCTTGTGCCCTTCAAGAACTGGATGCTTCACAAGTCTCTCTGCAAGACTCGTAAGGCTCTGCAAGAACTGTCCTAGAGCTTCCAGCCTATTTCTGGTCAGAAGTGTGTCCTGCTGCCCAGAGGGCAAAAAACAAAACCCAAGAGAAGCAAGTGATGCACAATACAATTGTTCACCACCAGCTGACTGACAGCCAAACCATCCCCAAGCAGCAAATGGCTCTGCCCAGCCAACTCCCCCCAGTTTATACACTGAACACGATGTTCTATGGTATGGAATATCCCTCTGGGCAGTTCAGGTCAGCTGTCCTGGCTATTCTCCCTCCCAGTTGCCTGTGGACCTCTTCACTGGCAGAGCACAGGAATCTGAAAAGTCCTTGATTTAGAGTCAGCACTACTTTGGAACAACTGAAACAGTGTGTTATCAACATTATTCTCATATTAAATCCAAAACACAGCACGTACAAGCTACTAAGAAGATTAACTCTATCCCAGCCAAAACCAGGATAGAGGACTCCATTATGAATTAGAGCCTAATTAGAGTCTACAGTTACCTAATCCAAGTTGTCTACAGTCCACCTTCCTCAATTATCTAGTTCAAGTCTTCAAAGGACTGGGAACCACAGCACAGCATAAGATGCAAAGCAAGTCTCACAGGTCAAAAATGTCAAAGTCTGATTTAAATTTCACCCTTGAAACAGATTATCATTTGGGGGAGAAAAAAATCCAGAACAAAAAAAAATTAAAGATGAGAAGAGACATGTTAACTATGTGCTAATATCTCCCAGCATCTTGTTAGAAGACAGACATATTTGCAAAGTTCTTTATACTCACACACTCAAAACAGTTATTAAATTAGTTTCCTTTCCTTGAACATATCATACCTAATAGCACTAAATGTCAGGTTTCAAAATTCGACTTCTGTTCCTCGTAGTCTGATTTTTGTCGCAGTTTCCCTATAATCTACTTTTGAAACATTTTAAAACTGAAAAATATTTTCACTGTTTACTTCACAGAAATGGTTAAAGGTATTTCAATGTAAATATTTACTTCCTTTTCTAAAACTATTTTAAGGAAGATTTTAGCACTGAAAATAGTAACCTGTAACTTGTCTTTTTAGCTCATGTTAAAACTGGAAGCAACGATGCGGAAACATTTCAGCAATATCAAGTAAACGGCAATTGAGAACTACAATAGCATCAGGCATTTGAGAGGTAGATACAAATTTCCCTGATTTGAGGATCTATCAGTTGGCAAGAGGCAATTAAAATACACTTATTCCTCTCCTGTGAAGAGAATACCAGGCAGCATTCTCCCTTCTGGTTCCTGGTGCCCTGGCCCAATTTGCTTTACTCCGCAAGATTTCAGCTACAGCCTTCACTTGGTAAACTGGGAGACAATGGATGCTACTTATGTTAACCAGCTTCTGTGGCAAAGCAGAATACAATTTTTTTTCACAGAAAGGAAAACAGTTTTGAGATTCAAAAATACTCCCAAACCAGTAGTTCAATGATCATGAAAATTAATGGGAAGCTTGTCTACAGATCCATCTCTTGCAGTTGAGTTCTTGTTTTAATCGAAGTTTTCTCCTGTGTGAAGTGTCTATACATTTGTCTGCCGTGTAGGGTTTTTGGTGTCTATTAATACTGTAGCATCTGCTGGAGTTCAGGCATGTGGGGAAAGCAACTTATGGGTCTCCCTCCTCTGCCGCTTGTGAAGCTTGTTACAACCTCATCACTTCAGAGGGATTTGCTTTTCCATCCTTGGTGAAACCAGGCACTAAGTTCAGGGGAAGGGGTGTTCACCAGAGAAGCAATAAGTTCACATAAGACTTGTTTCGTTAGGAAACACTGAAAAAATGTCACTCAGAAATAAAATACAAGATCATGTGAAAGCTATTTACACCTACGTATTTAGCTAATTATAACTATAGTTAGCTACGTATGTAGTTATAAATATATATATGCATCTATATAATTTATTATTATATAGTGTAATATCTAATAAAAATAAAATAAAAACTAATAAAAATAATAAAGATAATTCTGTATATATATTTTTGTATCTGTACATATAGTTTGTTATATAATTGCTGTCATTCTGTTACATACACCTGTGTGTGCACAGCTATGATGACACACATTTGAGGCAAGGAAATGGAAAGTGTAAAAGATAAACCTGCCCAGAAACGTGAAATTCAAAGAATTCTGTAGCTCCGAAAGGAGTTCGCCCTTCAGGGAAGCGTGCCCGAGAAGACAGAATGCAAAAGACCTCTGCGATCATCGAGTCCAACCTCTGAACAGCCCGGGCCCCCTGAGCTTGCGGGGCCTCCCCTGCGCCCCGCCGGGCCCCGCCGGCCCCGGTCCGGGGGGCACCCTGTCCTTCCCCCGCGGGGCGGCGGGCACTTGCCTCCCATTCCCGCAGGAAGCGCTGGGCCTCGGCGGGCCCGGCCGCCCTGTGCCTCCGGAACTCCTCCTTGACGTAGCGGTCTCCCAGGTCGCGCAGGGCGGGCGGCAGCGCCCGGTGCAGCTGCAGGAGGCGGCGGTAGAGGCGCCGCGCGGCGCCCGGCGCGGCCATGGCGATGGCGGCGGCAGCGCGGCCCGCCCGGGCCCGGCACGGCCGCACCGGGGCGGGGCGAGGGGCCGGGCGGGGCCGGGCCGCCCTGGGGGAGCGTTGTGCTTCTGCCACAGCGGTGGTGGGGAATGCTGGCGATGCGCTCAGACAGAGCCTGCGTTTTGCAGATAATGTTTAAAACGTTACCAAGAAATGCAGTTGCAAATAGTACTGCCTTCACCACATATGAACAAACTATGCCCTTTTTACCAGGGTGGAACGTGGCACAAGCGAGTTAGTCCACTAAGCACAAGCTTCATACGCTTAAATATGTTTTATCTGCATTTTCAAGCGCAGGTGGAAGACGAGAGAAGACATAGCGAGAAACCTTCCTGCCTCTGTGGCCCTGCTCGCAACTTTGTGCCACCACGTCGTCACCACCAAGCTCCTGCTTTCTCCCAGCTCCCTCTTACAGCCCAAGCTCCAACTCCCCAGCTCTCCATAAGGTTTTTTTTCAACAGCTTAACACCACATCCAGCTCACCCACGTGAAAAAAATCTTAATCAAAATGAACAATAGTAAATATTTTGGAAAAAGCAGAGTCAGGCAGTGGCCACAGTGGCGAAATTCCTGCCTCATCACAGGCACATGTTAAGCTCGTTCCATCCAGTCAAATCGCTGGTACTTCAAAACAGAAAGGAAACATTTCTGTAGGCCCAGGTAGTGCTAAGCTTTCCCTGCATACTAGGAAATGTCATAAAAATGTACTGCCTCATCAAAAGCCCAAGTCATTATGTGACGGCAACAGAGAAAAGGGCAAAGTACAGATTATTTTGCTGACTACAGTTTCTTGATGTTTATTTATTCTCTTAAGCACTTCAGTGATGGAAAACTGAAGTTCCTAGTAACAAAAAGTTATTGAAGTAAAACAAAATAGTTATAGTTTCACTTTTTATCATTGTCACTTTCCAGTCTTCTTCATGCCTACAGTGCTCTCGGAGTGAGCAGTTAGGCCCTGGCAGAGGAGGCCTGATCCTCAAATTTATTGGTCCTGCTATGTTTTCAAACTGTATTTTCTACAGATGTCTCTTTCTGGACTTAATGCATTTTGTCTACCCTATGTCATTCAATATGTTCTCAATTTAAAAAGATAGAGGTTAAAAAAGTGATTTGCTTTATCAGTTTTTTTTGCAATGATGCAATTCCACTGAGTCATCTCAGAGTGCATTCATTTACAGAATTTATTTAAATATTTTATTATATATTGACCACCATACTCATGATGCTCGTTGAGAGCTTTCTCCTTGCTATGTCCACCCAGTGTAGTTTTTAAGAGTCCTTTCCTTTAGTAGCCTGCTTAAGCCCTCTGCTGGGCACTCACTTTGAGGCTCAAATACTCACTAGATTCAAATACCAACTCAGCCAGATCTGTGACCCTTCAACAGTTTTTACACCTTTTCTTTCTATCCACAGAGACCAAAAGTCATTTTTACATTGGGTCTGGCTGAGGTGGAGTTCATTTCCCCATAGCAGCCCCCACAGTGCTGTGCTTTGCATTGTTAGCTAGAAAGGTGTTGATAACACATCAGTGTTTTGGCTACTGCTGAGCAATGCTGGCACAGCACCAGCACTGTCTTTCCAACATTCCATCCATCAGTAGGCTGCGAGTGGGCAAGATCCTGGGAGGGGGCACAGCTATGCCAGCTGACCCATGTTCTACACCATATGACATCAGCTCAGACATAAAAGTTAAGGAAAGGAGGACGAAGGGGGAGGCTTTTGTTATTTTCAGTGTTTGCCTTCCAGAGTGTGTGCTAAAGCCCTGCTTCCTGGGAAGTGGCTGAAGACCACTTGCTGATGGGAAGTAGAGAGCAATCCTTTTTTTTTTCTCATTGCTTGTGCATGCACAAACTTTCACTTTTGCTTTAATGAACTGCCTTACCTCAACCTACAAATCATTTTCCATCTTATTCTCTCTTCCCTACCTGGCAAGGAAGGGGAATGACAGAGCAGCTTGGTGGCCACCTGACATCCAGCCAAGGTCTATCCACCACACCCATCCTCTGGGGCAGGTGTTTCCTGCCCAGGAGAAGAGGAGGATTCCTTCAGCATCTGTGCACCTCCAGGCTGCTTCAGCTGCACCTCTTGAGCCTCGTCCTTGCACCTTCCCTAGACACTGCTGGAGAAGTGAGGAATTTGCCAGTAAATTCCCCATGGAGCAGAAGATAGAACTGTAAGCTTATCAAGCTGCTGATAACAGTCTAAGTTGTCAGTCTTTGCCTATTAACAATTTTTATATCCCAAAGTCCTTGAAGGTCTCTGCACTATTAGGGAATGTGGAGAGGCAGCAGATGCAGTTGAATGTCATATCCCTTGTGTGTGGGCACAAAAGGGCTCACCATCAGAACTTGTTAAGATATAACATGATATTAGAGGTATTATTTCCATATAATGACCTCTCAATCATCAGTACACAAAATATCTGTGCCACAGCTTGACTCCAGACAGAGTTTTAGCTAACGTTCATGAATGCAACTCCTTAGCTTAGTTACTTGCAGCTGCCTGCGTCTGCTTCCAGGCAGCACTGCTTCTGTGCAGGGCACTGTGGCATCTGTGCTGCTGCTCCCGGTGCTCAACAGCCTGGGGAAACTTCTTAGCTTGCACCAAAGAAAGCGGCACCTCAGAGGAGGGATTCATCCCACCCCTTTTTGGGCAAGTGGAGGAAATTAATCCCTACTTCCTTTCAGATGTCAATAGAAGGATATGCTGTGGTATATGTGATATAGTAGTCCATAAAGGATACTTCTGCATCCAACTCATCTTTAGCACACTGGCTCTGCATCAGTTGTGCTAAAACTGGTGTGAAAGCTACAAAGATACTAGAGTGTCTCTGTGTCATTGGATGTCCGTAGTGCCTTTGGATCTGGGGAAGCAATATCTGCTGTGCCACAGGGCAGTGTAAAGGCAGGCAGAGTGACTCAGATGATACACTAAATCTTTATTTACATGGCTAGGACTGTGTGAGGTAGCATCTCAACCTTTTCCCAAGGGCATATGAGAAATCTGTGGCAAAGAATAGATGCAAAGTGCTCTAGTTATTTATCCATCCTTCTGAGCTTTTGACCCTGTGAATCTGCCAGAGCAGCCATGTTATTTGCTACAGTCCTAATTCCAAATGTAGAAAGACTGGAGGAACACTTCCCTGTTTATTTTTTCCTTTTATCAGTAATGTGTTGACTAAAGAAGATGAAGCTGAAGTATTTATTGAGCTGTAATTGCTGTAATTTTTTTAATTATCAAGAGCATCCTGAGAGAAGTT